TTTGTTTCATCACAAAATTCGTGTTTACATAAACATTTGTCACCAGATACATATACAAATGTATCTCAAAAGAATACTATACAATCCTAACTACCCGGTGCTACATATCAGAGCTGACCGACAAAAGAATGAAGCTATACTTCACAAAAGACCTCCATCAAAGCTAATCTGCAATGCCTCGTAGAGCATTATAAAACAACAGAAGGGTGAGAAATATTATCATAATAACCAATGCATATATATATATATATATATATATATATATATATATATATATATATATATATATATATATATATATATATATATATATATATATATATATATATATATATATATAATATAAAAATATACATTGCTTCGCATTCTCACCGCATTTCATCATAGTTCTCTCATATACACCTCAATGTACATATTCACAATTCGCATCATTGTTCATAAACATACACATTCATATCTCTTCCCTACCATTCGACATAAGGTAGATATACATACATATATATATAACAAAGCATATTTATCATTTCATATATCCACAATTCACATTATTGTACGTAACCATAAACAATCATGTTTATTCACCAATTCATAACTCTCAATTCAACAATTCATGCACATATGCATATATTCACACAACATGCATCTCTATGCCATGTGACTCAATAAAACTCATCAATTCCTATTCAAAATTATGGGTACATCACTTATACCCCACTGGGAATAACATCATAGTCATTCTACCCCAGTGAACACCAACACTAGGAACAACATCATAGTCATTCTACCCCAGTGCGTACGACTGTATCCCGTATACTCCACTAGGAACAACATCTCAGTTATTCTACCCTAGGGAGCACCCCACCAGGAACAACATCTCAGTTATTCTACCCCGATGATTATTCCACTAGGAACGACACATAGTCATTCTACCCCGGTGATTATTCCACTAGGAACGACACATAGTCATTCTACCCCGGTGATTATTCCACTAGGAACGACACATATTCATTCTACCCCAGTGATTATTCCACTAGGAACGACACATAGTCATTCTACCCCAGTGCGTACGACAATGACACTATACCTCACCAGGAACAACATCTGTCATTCTACCCCAGTGATTACCCCACTATGCCACTCTACCTCACTAGGAACAACAATTGTCATTCTACCCCAGCGAGTACGAGCCTTACACATATACATATTTTCATATAACAATCATATGCACTTAATACCGTTCTCACATCTTAATCTCATGCATACTCAATTAATTCATCACCACATTTATCAAGCAATGGACACATATTCCCTAACATGTTCTCATGCATTCTTCACATACAATCGCATACAAACAATATGCATTCACAATATCGCGCCAACGCAACGAACTTAATCACATTCGTCATGCATTTTTATTCAATTTAAACAATGCATATATTTGCCAAAAGACCACATTTCACAATATTGCACAATCTAGGATTCACGCCATACGGCTACCCACAACATATATCACAACACGCAATCACTCATTTCAGATCAAGATTGAATACAATCGAACCAAACAATCAACATTGAATGGAAAAACACAAAGAAATGGAAATGTTGTCATGCTCACTGGCTTGCTCGCCTAGAGAGTCCCTAGCGAATACTCGCTATCTGTTCTCCTAGCGAACAAGCTCGCGAAGGCAAACAAAAGCTACTGACTTCGTTCGCTACCAACTCGCTGCAGCGAGGTCCTAGCGAATCCTTCGCTACCTCACTCGCTACCAGTGAATCAGATCCAATACATTCTGTCCAAGTTTGGGATCACTCGCTAACTTGCTCGCCTAGCGAGTTGCTAGCGAATACTCGCGATCTGTTCACCTAGCGAAGGTGCTAGCGAACGTCTGCGATGTTCAAAACCCCAACTGACCAAAATCACCAAATCATCACAAAATCAACCAATTCAATTCCAACAAATTCCAGTAGTCTTAGCCTAACATTTCTCGACTAATCTACACCATTTATTCCGGATTCCAACCGTTAAAACCTTGATTCTACCGATTAAACTCATCTATGCCCTAGAATAGAAATGTAGAAAAACATCCAAACAATCCAACCCAATTATACATAATCATATACATTGACAATATAATGATATTTCACACCCTTACCTTGATTAAATCGGTTCTTGAGAGTTGATCTTGATGAATCCAAGTTTTCCTCCTTTTTCCTTCTCTTTTCTCTTCTTCCTCTTCTTTCTCTCCTCTTTCCCTTATGTTTCTATATATTTTCTTCCTTTCTCTTTTCCTTTTCCACTTATACTCTTTCTATTTTATTTCTCTCCAAACATCCACTAATCCCTTTCTCATAAAATATCTCAACTTAACATTAAATACTTAATGTCTAAAATACCCTCCAATCTATTTTCCCCGAAACTCTCAAAATCGATAAAATAGCTTAATATGCAAACATAACATATTAACACATAAATTCCACAATTAAAATATTAATCACCCAAATCAATTAATTAATATAAATAATTAATTATCAAAATTGGGTTGTTATAATAGACGTCGTAACATTCAAATACAATGACACACCCTCGTTTCTATGCAACACAAAGTGTTACGTGTGAAATATATCGTACAAAGGAGAAAATTGGAGGATTCCAATTTGGAGCCTAGGCTTGGTTACCTGTACGCAAGGGAGTCAAATAGGGAACTATCCATGATCAGAACCCCGACTTGAGTAATAAGTTTGACTGGGGAAAGTTGTTCACCTTGGTACATAGGAATATCTGTGACCCGAGTCCCGACTTGAGTAATAAGTATGGATGGGGAAAGATGTCATAGTGTGCATAATAATGTGCATCTGTGACCCAAACCCCGACTCGAGAAGTGGTTTTGGCCAGGGAAAGACTTGTCATTCGTGAGAAAATCCATGATCCGAATCCCGACTTAAGTGGTAAGTTTGGTCGGGGAAATATTTTCTTATATTTGTGAATGCCTAGTGACCGATACTTCAACTCAAATGAGGAGCTATGGGCGAGAAAATGCATTCACTATATTCAAGACTTCTATGGTAACCAAAGCGTGATTTAAAGCCAATGGGCAATCATACGCTTGAGTGGACTTCTTGTAAGATTATGCACTGATGCTTACATGATCATAGGGTGATACACCCTATAGAGTGCACGTTAATTAACGTAATGCACCCTCTAGAGATGAGTGGACTCGATAGTTATCCTAAATCCCACTGAGATTTAGTAATTTCATTCCATTCATGTTGTATTTCAGGTGGTTCGGAAGAAGGTAAAGAAAAATGCAAGATGGTGTAAAGACTCAAAGATTTTTCATTCTTGCTTGATTTATTTATTTATTGTGTACTCTCGCGTACTTCTTTGTACGCTTGTGTACTCTTTTGTAATTTGTATTCGACTCCTGTGGAATATGTAAAATATTTTAGAAGCTTATGTTTTATGTATATTTTGTACATCAAATAAACTCTTTTAATTGTATCAGTACCAACATTAAACACACTAATTAATATTATTCTAGGTGCATGTTAGTTGTGGTGTTACAACATATAACATCAAGTACATGGTTGACGCTTCACAAAGAACTTGTGGACATTTGTGTGTTATTAGTGAATTATGCAGATTAGCTGGAGTGCATGCTCAACCTGATGATGTGATGGTGAGTCCTATGCATCCAATTAACGAAAGCATCATGAGAAGAATCCTAACATCCCCAACACAAGAAGAAGCACAACAAGAAGATCCAGAGCAAGTCTACCGTCCTAAAATTAACCAACCGGAAGGAGCCCAACAACAATAACATGCATCAAACAGCTTGCAAAGGCTTGAGGGGTACATAATATGCATGATAAGTTGGGTAAACGAAATCTCACCCAACTTGTATGCTAACCAGCCGAGATTTAGACCAAATTTTCAGACATTTTATAAGGATCAAACATAGCACATGTTGGTTCAGAACTTGCGGGAGCATTTTACCACATTTGCAGCTATGGAGACCTACTTTGAGGAGGAAGATCAAGCCTTTCACAATATTAAGCTGAAACAAGGACTCTCTAGGCCAGTTAGAATCAACAATTTCAAGACGGTGTTTAGGATCTCAACAACTACTTCAACTCCAGTAACATGTGACTCAGGAGTTTTCAATTTTAGTTTTTATTTATTTATTTCCCTTTTGTACTATAATCCAAAAGAAGAGTACTAGCTAGATCTTAAGAAATCTTTCCCTTATACTTTTCTTTATTTGAAATTAATTGGAATTTCTACGTCACTACCATTCGGCTGAAATTTTAATTGAAATTTCTTAAAAGAAATATTATATAATCACTTTAGTTTTAATAATATACTATTTTTTTTTACATTAATAGTTATTTTATTTAATATATTATATAATTCTTTTTATTTTATTTATTCCTCATTTAGATTTTTTTTATAATAACAATGTTTTTTAAGAAAAATACCAAACAAACTAAAATATCAAAAAATTTACAAAAATGGTCAAGTTTCATGGGATTCGCCGTTTAAATTGGCGACATTGCCTAACTGGCCAACAAGGAGTCGCCAATTGATTTGATTACTCCTCCAAATATTTTTTTTTCCTTTAGGATTTAGGTTTTTTATTTCAATAGGAATGGGTCATGTCGCCAATTCAATTGACGACACCATTTATTATAGCCTACCTCGCCGTTTGAATTGGCGACTCCACCTAAAAGCTTAACCACTTTAGTAATTTTTTTCAACTTTTGATTTATTTGGTGTTTTAATTTAATAAGTTAATTATACTAAAAAAAATTCCCTCATTTGACATTCAATTTGTTAGCTTATTTATGTTTTGGATTCTAATAATCTCTCCTCCCAAGCATCTATTTATATGAAAAACATTACAGCTGAGTACAAATTAAAACAGTCATAAAATATTTGGCGTTTTCACTTTTGTTTTCTGCTTATTTCAATCTCAGAATCTCTCACACAACACAGAGAGAAGATGAAGATGGAAGCTTCAGTTTCTACGGTGGAGAAAATAATCGGTTATATTTTCCATAACAAGAAGCTTCTAGAACAAGCCCTAACTCATACTTCTTACCCTGAAGCTGTTTCATACGAGCGTCTCGAGTTCGTCGGCGACGCCGTTTTAGGTCTCGCGATCAGCAACCACCTCTTCCTCGCTTACTCCTCCGTTGATCCTGGGACACTCTCCCTCCTCCGTGCCGCTAATGTTAGCACCGAGAAACTCGCTCGCGCTGCTGTTCGTAACGGTCTACACCGTTATGTACGTCACAATACGCTATCTATTGTTGATATGATTAACGAATTTGTTGAAGCTGTTGAGTGTGAGGATGATTGTGTTGTTGTTAAGTATGGTGGATCGGTTAAAGCTCCGAAGATTCTTGCTGATATTGTTGAGTCTGTTGCTGCTGCTGTTTACGTTGATGTTGGTTTTGATCTTAAAAAATTATGGGTGGTATGAGTATTTCTAAACTTTTTAGATTTGTTTTTAGATTTTGTTAGTATTTTATGTTGATGTTGTATTTTCACTGTGTTGTTGAACTCAACTTTGTCACTGTCTGATAAATGCTTGTAATTTTTGTGGACAGATAATAAGAGGTCTTTTGGAGCCGATAGTTACACTACAGGATCTGGAACAAAGACCACAACCAGTGACAATGCTTTACGAGATCTGTCAAAAGAATGGTAAAAAAGTTGACATAGAACAAAACAGAAATGGTGCCAAAAGCACTGCCAATGTCTATGTTGATGGAGTGAGGGTTGCTTCCGCTTCCTCTGATCAAAAGGACATTGCAAGGCTTGAAGCTGCCAAGGCTGCCTTGCATAAACTAGAACGCATACTACCTGCCACTACTGTGATGCCTGATTGTTGTGTTGGCATTGATGGTACCTTTGAAGTTGAAGCTGCAAAACAGAAGTTATATGCTATTTGTGGGATGAAAAAGTGGCCTAAACCAATATACAGGTAAACACGGCTCCTGCCACTATAATTTGCAAATTGCATTGGCATTTTGAAAGATAAACATTAATTATAGTCTTGATTTCATTTTCTGGGTATAAAAGTGCATCTATCTGTCTTCTAGTTTCCTTGCTAGGATAATTTGAAGTTATATGACAGGTTTGAGAAAACAGAGAAGATGAGGCAGATGAGAGTATTATTCTTTTTAAAATATTGTTTTTGTTAGCCGGGACAGTTTTAAGTTATTGGTTGCATTTGGAGGTTGCCTTCATATACCTAGTCACAAGGTATAGGACAATGTAGAAACCTGCTTGTGAATCCAAGTATTTGTAAGCTATACTAAAGTAGATTCAATTATTCTTTACTTTAGGTTTTCCTGAATAATTTGTACTCTGATGCTCCTTGCCTGGCCTACATAACGCCTTAGTTAGGTGTATTCCTAATTGGTTTGGTTACTGGTTGTTTGGTTGTCTACATCCTTATCCTTAGAAATTTAGTTATGCTTTTGCCCTCTTTTGGGCTATTTGTTTTATACATCTACAAAGAGAAACTCAACAATAATTGTTTTTGAGAGTTGAAATTTTCTACTATCTAAATAATCTTCCATGTTATTTTTAACTTGTTATTTAAGTTGATTTGCTTGTATCGAGCTTGTAAACTGATTTCTGGCTTGTCTATGATGTTTAACAGCATTGTGAAAGATGAAGGTAGTCCTCAAAATAAGAAATTTGTCACCGCTGTACAAATAGCTACTCCATCTGCCACACTTCAAATGTCTGGGGATGAGAAATCTCGGGTGAAGGATGCAGAGAACTCTGCAGCTTCCTTTATGATTCGGGCCTTACAACAACATAAATATGTGTGACAATTGTGGTCTCCCGAAGAATTAGTTTTAAGTCTATGTTAAGTTTTTGATTTGTATGTTAAGTTTTTGATTTGTGAGAAATGGATATCGAGCCTAGTTGTAATTTGTAGGAAAAAAATACAAGTATTTGCGATAATTGTGGCCTCCGAAAGTACTAGTTTTATGTCTATATTACCTTTTGATTTGTGAGAAATAGATATGAGTCTAGTTGTAATTGTAGTATGTGAGATATCTGTTCGCATGCTGTTGTCAGGGTAATGCGTGTTGTAGTTGAAGTTTGTTCTAACATGCATTAGTCAATATTGCTAGGTGTGTTAGCATGTTGAATTGGACATTGCTTGTAAGCCCAATTGTTTAAGTTAGCTTGTACCCTAAGTTAACTTGTAATGAGTAATTGTTAAAAAATCCATTAGGTTAGTTCTATTATAAATAACATGCTAGTCTCTCATCTTGGAATAAGGAAAAATAGGAATATAAAATCTTAATTCAAGTGAAAGAGGTTATTTTGTTATTCTTGTATACTTTTAATCTTGTTCTAAGAGAAAAAAAAGAATAGTAGTTTGTAACCAATCTTTGTTGTTTTACCTTGTTTTCTTTGTTAATCTTAACCCTTATGCATTTCTTGATCATAAAGAAACCGTTTATATTTTGTTTCAAGACATTCAATTCACAACAAATTGTTGCGGGGAGCGTGGAGAAGATGCCTTCAACAAAGTATGAGATTGAAAAGTTTACCGGAGTGAACGACTTCGGTTTGTGTCGCTTGAAGATGAAAGCCCTATTGGTTCAGCAGTGTTGTTTGGAAGCGTTGAAGGGAGAAGCAGCCATGAACATTGCGTTAACGACAAAAGAAAAAGACGAGCATGATTGAGAAAGCCCACAACGCAATATTGTTGAGTCTTGGTGATAAGGTTCTTCAACAGGTATCAAAGGAGACTACATTATCGGGATTATGCGTAAAACTTGAAAGTTTGTACATGAACAAGTCTCCAGTGAATCGATTCTACCTGAAGTAAGCTTTGTATTCATTCAAGATGAGTGAAGACAAAGTGTTGGCTGAGCAGTTGAATATGTTCAACAAGTTGATTATTGATCTTGAAAATATTGATGTGAAGATCGATGATGAAGATCAAGCACTGTTGATCTTGTGTGCTTTGTCTAAAACACATGCTCACTTCAAATAAACCCTCTTGTATGGAAGAGAGTCCCTGAGCTTTGAAGAAGTTCAATCAACCTTGTATTCTAAGGATTTGAATGAACAAAAGGAGCATAAACCGTCGACGGTGGGCGAAGGTTTGGCCGTCAAGGGAAAATTCTTGTGAAAGGATGATAAGTTCGACAAGAAGAAAGGTAAAAGTCAGCAGAAGTCTTATAGTAGCGAAACATCTGGTATTCGATCTTATCACTGTAAGAAGGAGGGTCACACAAGAAAGGTGTGCCCTGAACGCCTAAAAGATCATGGAGGTAAGGATAATGACAACACACCTATTGTTCAAGATGAGTCTGACTCATCTGATGTCCTTGTACTATCAAGCGGTGACTCAAGAAAGGAGTGAATTATGGATTTAGGTTGCACTTGCCACATGACTTCAAACAGAGAGTTGTTCGAGGAGCTATGTGATCAAGATGGTGGATCGGTGCTGCTGGGAAACAACAAATCTTGCAAAATTGCAGGCATTGGATATGTGAGATTCAAGCTCCATGATGAGTCAATAAGGTTATTGACTGAAGTCAGGTATGTACCTGATTTGAAGAGAAATTTGATTTCTCCTGGTGAATTCGATAAAAAGGGATATGTTTTTCAAGGAGAGAAAAGTATCCTAAGAGTCATGAGGGGGTCGAATGAAGTCTTAAGAGGCGTGAAGAAACAAGGCTTGTATACCCTTGAGGTTGAGGTTGTAAGTGGTTCGACAAATATTTCATCCACGAAACCTGTGTCGAAGACAAAATTATGACACATGTGATTGGACCATGTCAGCGAAAAAGACTTGGTCGAATTGGGGAAGCAGAACCTACTAGGAGGTGACAAAGTCGAAAAGTTGAAGTTTTGTGAATCTTATGTATTTGGTAAATCCTATAGGACGAAGTTTAACAAAGGCAAGCAAAGAACACATGGATCCCTGGATAACATTCATTCTAATCTTTGGGGGCCTGCAAGGAATCCTTCACACTCAGGTGCAAGGTATTTTCTATCCATTGTTGACGACTATTCCAGAAAGCTATGGGTATTCATCCAGAAGATGAAGGATGCAACTTTTGAGAATTTCAAAAGTTTGAAGGTTCTGGTCGAAACTCAAACTGGCAGAAAGGTTAAGAGGTTGAGAATCGACAATGGTCTTGAGCCCTGCAACAAAGCGTTTGATAGTTACTGTGTTGAGTCTAGGATTGCAAGACATAAGAATGTACCAGGTACTCCTCAACAAAATGGCTTAGCTGAGAGATTCAATCGAACAATCTTGAAAGGGTTAGATGCATGTTGGTTAGTGTTGAATTAAAGAATGTGTTTTGGGCGGAGGTTGTTTCAACAACAACTTATCTGATAAATAGATGTCCCTCGACTTCCTTAGGAATGAAGACACCTGGAGAAGTTTGATCAGGACATCCACCTAGTCTCGACAGACTGAGAGTATTTGGTTGTGTGGCCTATGCTCATATTAGGCAAGACAAGGTCGAACCAAGAGCTCTGAAATATATGTTCATGAGATACCCTAAAGGAGTCAAAGCTTATAGGCTATGATGCCTAGAGCCAGGTCACAGGAAGTGTATCACCATTCGAGATGTAGTTTTCAGTGAAGCACATATGACTTTCAAGAAAAATGATGTTACTAACAAAGAGTTGGAACAAAGAGAGATTCCTGCTGAGGTGGAGCATGTTGATGTTGAATTGCGTACCCCGGATGAAGTCGAAGAAGACGCAAAAGATGTTGTCGAAGATGAGAAGACTGATAATGATTACCTGCTAGCAAGAGACAGGTCTAGGAGAGTCGTCAAACCACCTTAGAGACTTGGGTATGCAGATCTTATAGCTTATGCCTTAATCTCTGCAAGTGGGGTTTAGACGAAGAACCTAGAGACTATAAGGAAGTTATGAGGAGTCGAAAGAAGGCTGAATGGATGAAGGCCATGGATGATGAGATGAAATCTCTTCATGATAATAACACCTGAGAACTGATCAAGAAACCTGTTGGAGCCAGGTTAGTTAGCTGTAAATGGATTTTCAAAGTTAAGAAAGAAATCGAAGGAGTGACGTCGAATAGATACAAGGCAAGATTGGTCACTATGAGGTTCACTCAGAAAAAAGGTGTCGACTTTAATGATGTGTTATCTCCTGTTGTGAAGCACATATCCATTCGAATGTTACTTGCCACGGTGGCACAATTCGACCTTGAACTGGAACAAATGGATGTGAAGACTGAGTTCTTGTATGATGATCTAGATGAAATAATTATGATGAGGTAACCTGAAGGGTATGTCGAAAATGGAAGGAAGATTATATGTGCAAGATGAATAGATCTTTATATGGACTGAAACAATCTCCTTGACAGTGGAATAAGAGATTCGACAAGTTCATGGCACATATAAGTTTAATTGGAAGTCAGTTCGACCACTGTGTTTACTTCAGATTTCGACCTGGTAATTCATTTGTTATTTTGTTGCTTTATGTGGATGATATTCTAATAGCAAGAAACAATGTCGAAGATGTAATGAGTGTGAAGGATGAACTCAATAAGGAGTTCGACATGAAGGATCCGGGAGATGCGTCCAGGATTCTTGAGATTGACATCCGAAGAGATAGAAAGCAGTCAAAATTATGCTTATCTCAAGAGGCATACCTACGGAAGACTCTTCAAAAGTTTGGTATGTTGAATTCAAAGCCTGTTGTGACTCCGACAAACCCTCAATTCAAGTTAAGCATAAATCAGTGTCCTAGTACTGATGTCGAAAGAACTTATATGAATAACATTCCATATGCTAATATAGTGGGTTCTTTGATGTATGTTATGATATGTACAAGACCCGACATATCATATGCAGTAAGTCTTGTAAGCAGGTACATGGTGAATCCTGGAAAGGCTCACTGGCAAGCATTGAAGTGGATTATAAGGTACATAAATGGGTCTCTAAATAGATTCCTAATTTATGTTGGAGCCTTGGGTGAAGATAGTAAAGCAACAATTGAAGGATATGTCGACTCTGATTATGTAGGTTGTATGGATTCCAGAAAACCTATTTCTGAATATGTGTTCACTATGTTTGAGACAACAATCGATTGAAAAGCGACACTTTAGGAGGTCGTTGCCTTATCAACCACTGAAGCGAAATATATCTCCCTAACTGAAGCTATGAAGGAAGCATTGTGGCTTGAAGGTTTTACAAAGGAGCTGAAACTTCAAAGTCAAGTTATCATTGTTAAATGTGATAGTCAAAGTGCAATACACCCGTCGAAGAATTCGGCCTATCATGAGCGAACCAAGCACATTGATGTGAGGCTGCATTTCGTCAGAGGAGTAATCGAGCGTGGAGAAGTCCAAGTGCTGAAGGTTTTGATAGAGCATAATACTGTTGATATGATCACCAAGACGTTGCTCAGTTGCAAGTTTTTCCACTGTATGCAGTTGATAAAACTGCACGAAGAAAGCTAGTTTCTTGATGTTATTAAGCTAGTTTCTTGATGACACAAAAGAAAAATGGAACTTCAAAGGTATATAATTTTGGTTCTTAAAATGAGTATACTTATAGTAAACTGTCTAGTGCTTTTAATGACATGTATGATGCTTCCATTAAATTGTTTAAGAAAATTGCTCTCTAAAATAAAATTATTGATACACTTGAATATGAGATATGTGAGTGCAATATGCTCTTGAATATGATTTGAATGATGTCAAAACTTGGTAGGTTATATCAACTAAGTAGCTTAGATCTTTGTGTATTTGAACCTTATCATCTTTGTCTAAGTGTGCATCATCATTATAGCGTGTAAGACTATATTACATAAGCTATCACATGCAAAAATATGCAAAAATATGAGTTTTTCACAAAAAGTCATGCATGGGTCGCTACATCTTTAGTATGGGTCGATACATACCGAATGAAATTTTAAAGAATTCAGATCTGTCTCAAATGGGTCGACTCATTCTTAGTTGAGTCGACTCAAACCGAAAGTGTTTTTCAAGGATTTGCCACTTCCTTCATTGTATCGGTACATTGAAGGAATGAGTCGATACATTGAGCAAATGGGTCGACTTATCCTCATTTTGGATCGACTCATCCTGAAATAATTTTTATTGAATTTAACTACTGCCTTGAATGTATTGACTCTATTTGACTTCGTATTGACTCATTTCATTTGAGTCTATACATTCTGAACCAAATTTTAAAATTGCATTTTGACTAAAAATAATTCTCATTCGTATAAATACTCATTCATGCATCATTTTCATTAATTGAAACTTGAAAAATACAAATAATTCTCATCATCTTCAAACTTAAAATAATCATTCGAGATCGACCAAATAAACTTTATTTTACTCCTATTAAATAATTGGGTCAACCTATTGCCCTACTTAATCTGATTTGTTTGCATAACATAATGTATTTCACATTTTAAAAAATTATTTGTTATTTTAACTTATTAATTTAATTTAATTTGTTATTTTTCGATTGCACCCTCTAATTAATACATATAATTATATTTTTTAAAATTTTGCATTAATGTTAAATTGAATGCACCAATAGTTAATAAGAATAATTTGATAAAATTGTTATTCATTCTTTTATTTATTATATTTTTTAAACTATATAAAATGTGATTTTTTTTGAAATAACGCATATTTTTAAATAAAATATTAAAATAATTGAGGTTTTAAGAAAATTATCAAACTAACTTACTTTTAACATGCATGCGTCATATGAATTGAACTAAATATCATATGGCGATACCATTCAAAAAAAATTTAGAGGAGGAACCATATGATATGATGCCTCTGTTCAATCCTTTTTTTTCTTCTTTGAACTGAGGCGCCATATCATATGACTCCTCCTCTAAAATCTTTTTGAATGGTGTCGCCATATGATATGACGCATTAGTTCAATTCATTTGCATTTTCAATGTTGTCACCCTATTATATGACGCATGCATGTTAAAAGTAAATTAGTTTGATAATTTTTTTAAAAGTTTAATTATTTTGTTATTTTATTTAAAAATGTGTTATTTCAAAAGAAAATTCTAAAAATATAATATGACATTTATTTTTTAACGGAAAAAATAATTAATATCAATTAGTTTGTAGTTAAAATTTGTTCACTTTTAAATTAATATCAATTAGGTTGTAGTTAAAATTTGTTCACCTTTAATATTTAGTAGTAAAGAATAACAAAAAAAATTAAAAAATAGTACAGTCTAGAAAATTGTTTGAAATGTACATTTTAGAATTTTAAAACAGAGTTACTTAAATGTGTAGAAAAAACAAAAATTTGAAAAGACAAAAGTGCTTAAATACGTGTAGCTGATTCTCGTCTACGTGGCACTGTGTTCCTTCCCACGCTCTTTTTGCCTCTTCACTTTCATTTTCCCACCAACATTTCACATTCCCCTCAACCCAAAGAAGGATCACATAAGTCCAACTCCAAATCCTTATTTTCGTTAAGTTACTAGTGATTATGTTGTTGATTCTAGTTTAGCTTAAGCAACTGCACGTGATTTGTTGGTGACTTGGTGCTTAATTTGTTCTAGTGATGTAGTGAGAATATTAACTTATTAAGCACAATCGATTCAGAATATTACATGCTTACGAGATTAATTCGATTGAGAAGTTGAATTTCCAGTTCAGGTTTTGGTTTAATAATTCTTTCAAGCTCAAGGTAAGGTTTACAGAATCTTGTTACTGCCTTATAATACATTGTTGATTCTAGTTTAGTTTATTGTTTAAGCAAGTAATTTGTTTTCTAGTTTCATTGAAAATGAGATAGAGATATGGCAGGAATACACATATATATATATTCATTTATGTCTATGTGTGAGCTGGTCGATTTGCAAACCTGTTCGACTCAAATCATACCAACTTATAAATTACGTCATTCATTCATTTACGATTATAGGTAATTCAACCCGCAACGATTCATATAGTATTGGTTCAGGTAGGGTTTGAGTATCTCGACCCGTTAATGTGATATGAAAATGTAAAGTTAATATCTAATTACCGACTATAATTCTGTAAAAAAAAATAAATTCAATATTAGTACTAGTACTACTATTAGATCAATAAATTTGATATGTGAAAATACATTAATCAATTATCACGGATGTATAATTGGTTAGAGATGTGAAAAAAAGTCAAATAAATTAAAAAAAAGTGATTTTGTTGCCGATGTAATCGATTATGCATTTGCTTTAACGAATTACCATTAAAGTGTTTTTCACTTTTGTAGCAATCAAATTAATTACAAATTTTGTGTAATCGGTTACAGATACAAAATTTTTATTTTTTATTTATTTGATTTGTTGTTTGTGTGTCTCAATTCACTTTCAATTGTAATTGTTTAAATAAGTTTGATGTATCATTATCATGTGAAGTGCATATTCTCACCCTTCATATTTTTCTCTCTCTAAATATCTCTTACTCTCTCGCTCTCCACATTCAAACCCCTCCATTTTCACTAACAGGCTATTTGAAGTTCTAACAAAGTTTATGTAATTATATGCCTAAGTTTTTTATTTTACTTTCTATTATTTTCAATGTATGTATTTTATTGAAATAATTGTGAAATTTTTTACTATTATTAAATGTTATGTCATGTGGAATTCTTTTATTAAATATTATAGGATGTGTTCCATTTAATTTAAGCATTAGAAATTACAATTTGTTATAATTTTTTATAATAGAAAAAAAAATATTTTTTATTTGAAAAACAACTCGCGAACCATCTAACCAGATCTATAAATAAACGGGTCGGTTTGATCGATTTTGTCTGTAAAATTGTGGGTTAGACGATAAATCTAACTCATTAAGTTTTAAACATATTGAATAATGGGTTAGATCAAACTCATTCCAATACAACATGTATACCCTCTTAGATACAAATATACTATTTTATTTGAGTTCATTTAATATTTTACCAAAAACTTTAATATATTTTACAAAATTTAAAATTAAAAAATATTTAGAAAGATCGAAATTAAATATAGAAATTTTCATTTACTAAAATAAGATAGTAGTATATTTATCAAGGATCTCTTTCAGCTTAACCAGAGGTCTTAGATCTGATGTCGATCCTAAACACGCAATAGTATTTAATTTTCTTGAAGAAGAGTTTTACGACCCCATTGCAGTTTTACTAAGCTTGAGAGATTAATATCTCCAATTGTGCGTAGAGGATATCAAATAATAATTTAACTTTCTTTTTATTTATATAATAGATTTAAGAGATATTTAAAACGATGGAGTGTTGACAAATTAATAAATATAAGACTTTAGAGAAAAATAAAAAGATACGTGAGGTATAAAATAAATAATAAAGTTGTTAATAAAAATAAATTCATGTACATATGGCAACAACTGCAATCACCACCACAAGCACAATGGCCACAAGTGCAACCGGATCTACAATTTATAACAATGCTTTAGATATAGCAGATACAATGAGAGATTAAATCCATTGAGAACTTGAATTTCAGCTCAGGTGTTTGTTTGAACATTAGTATGTTGCATTTCTGTTTCTGCCTTATAATAATTGGTTTCAAAAATCTGTTACATATATTTTCCTTTTTATTAATTGTGTGATTTCCTGGTTTTTATGCGCTTATCTAATCATCTGTTATCTTTTAACGTAAAATTTCTTCCTCCATGATTAATCAAGAATTTGTGATTGTGTGTATGCTATCATTTTGTAACCTCTCTAGATTGAGCATTGATCTTGCCGCCTAAATCCTGAATAAAAATATAGGTCTGCATGATATATACAAGTATCATCCGTGCAGGTGTCAGACACGGACACAGACATGTCTGTTTTTCAGAAGTGTCGATGCTATATAACTAATTTTCAGGAGTATAATTCTTTATAGTTTTTGTTTTGTCGACGATGAAATATAGCAGGACCTAACCAGTTGCGTTTAGAACTTTCAATGGACAAAAGCATAGTGGAATCTCTTGATAATGGAGCTGAAACTAATACAAGAAAGCAGATCTTCTGTAACCGGCCACTGAATATGAAGAACGTTAATGCGGTCGGATTTGACATGGATTATACCTTGGCGCAATACAAGGCTGAAACTTTCGAATCCCTTGCTTATGAACACACAGTCCGAAAGCTCGTAGATAATTTTAAATATCCTAGTGAGGTTTGTCCAGATAGTCTTCAACTAATTCTACCGAATTAATTTTTTTTCGTGACAGTGATGATAGAAGCGGAGTTATATTTTTTTTAGGGTTGATTTTCTCGCTTTTTTCCCTGCAGATACTGGATTTGTCATTTAATTCAAACTACATGGTTAGAGGTTTGGTTCTTGACAAAAAGAGAGGCAACATTTTGAAGGTCGAGATCAAACAAATGTTTTATACCTGTCATATTTACCACAGAAAAACGATATAAGAAAATTGCATCGATTTTTTCTAATAACCTTTTTTTTTGTACCGGTTGTTTTACAACTTCGTGTATTTAGATGGATTGCCACAAATATGTGAAAGTAGCTTATCATGGATTTGAAGAGTTGTCTAAAGAAGAAAAAGTTCAGGCCTATGGAAAATTTTTTGTGTCTAATTCTTTTGATGAGCCGGAATACGCTGTAGTAGACACACTCTTTTCACTAGCCGAAGCCTACTTGTTTGCGCAACTGGTTGATTTTAAGGACCGCAATCCTGAGAAGATTCCACAGTCTGTTGAGTAAGTCTTGTAATTGTTTGCGCGAGTCTTCTTTTATCGAGTCTTTATGCCTTAATTCTTAAGATCAACTGCATCTTGATTTCAGTTATGCCTGTATCTACAAAGATGTTCGAAATGCAGTAGATATGTGCCACCGAGACGGAACGTTGAAGCAAAAAGTTGCAGAGAATCCCGAGAGGTATAGATGTAAAATCACTAGCACATCATAATGAAAAATGGACAATTAATTAGTGTTATTTAAATAGCATAGTTAGTCATACCACTGATTTTATGTTAAAATAATGTGGTAAAATTTCATATATATATCTGGGTTCGCGATGAAATTATCTGACTTGTCAATTTTCTTTATGAAATTTAAAACATTATTAGGTATATCAATGACGACAAGTCAATAGTCCCCATGCTTAAAATGCTTAAAGAGTCCGGACGAGTTACGTTTTTGGTGACAAACAGGTAATGACGAACAATGTTGCAAATCATTCATGCGCCTTTGCTCAACAGTTTAAGATTTTGCAAAAGTCAATAAGAAAATGTGCAATGTTCTTATAAAAAATAGAAATATACTTGTACTATGGTTTCTTTCTCTACAAGAAATTATTTAACATTTTAAAGACTCTTCTTTATCTCTTACAGTTTATGGGACTATACATGTGTTGTCATGAACTTCATCTGTGGATCCAATGAGATGAATGACGGTTCCAAATTCGACTGGCTTCAATACTTTGATGTTGTCATCACTGGCAGCGCAAAGCCGAATTATTTTCAGGAAGATAATCATGCTAACCTGTTTGAGGTTGAACCCGAGAGTGGAGTGCTCCTTAATACAAACAACGGCGCTCCTCTACCTCAGGTCACAACACCGCATCAAATCATTGTACTAATTCTTAAGTGATATTTATCTGAAATTTGTCTTTTTTTGCACATCTTGTTTAAGGTGGGTAATTTCCAAGCAAGAGTATCAACAAAAGACGAGAACGGTGATCATAAGGTTTTCCAGGTATATTAATTTTTACATGTAGGTCGTCTGATTAAAACTTATACCTCGGTATTTTATCATAATACATAGTGATTCTATTTTAGGGAGGCAATGTTAGTCATCTGTATCCTCTACTTGATATAGGATCGAGCTCGCAGGTATTAATTTTTCTTCTAGAAAATATATACATTGCAGATATCATTTTATGAATTATAAGTTGCGAGACGATTCCATAAACTTTTTGTGAACCTGGTAATACTTGCAGATTCTGTATGTTGGGGATCATATATATGGAGATATACTGAGCAGCAAAAAAACTCTTGGTATATTAGTTTTTGTCAATGATGCACATTTGTTGGTTTTTCTTCAAATGATTTGAACTTCGTTATGATTCAATATATTCATGAGCAGGTTGGAGAACAATGTTGGTGATCCCAGAGCTTGAGACGGAGGTTCAACTCCTCCAGAAATTGAGGGATGACCGCAAGGTGTAAAATGAAACCATAGAGTATAGGCTTAATTCATGCAAAATATAAGTAGAACTTTCAGGTCATAAGATTTTTATTTTTATATAACTAGTCTTATTTGCAGGAACTTAGATCTCTGAGGAGCCGTTGCGCTGACATTGAGGATAAAATGCATCATTTGAATCAGTCTCTTAAGTAAGTATAACTCCGGGCCTTGTTAGTAATGTCTTATTATCTGATTGCGTACTTAGCAGTAGACTAGAGTTTTTCAGATTGAATAGTCCAGATGATGATACCAAGCAGAAGATAAATTCAGAAATCAATCAATTGGAGGTTAGGTTTTTTAGGTTCATTCTATATTTCTTTCGTGTTATATGCATAGAAATCAAATCAGGGCGCTTGTTTTTAAGTAGCTAATAGTTATTTTATCAGGTTGAAAGAATGAATGTGCGATTAGATCATCAAGAAGCCCTTGGAGAGTTACATCAACAGGTAGAAAATATGTAGCCTTTTCGTATTATCACTAGTTCTCGTTCTGCTAGTCGAGCACGCACATTGTGCTCAATTCACCTTGTACAGGAAATAACAATTATTTAAAATTAACCATTGCAGTTTCACCAGCCATGGGGACAACTAATGAGGACTGGTTACCAGAGCTCTCGCTTTGCTCAACAGGTAAAGATCAACACTCTTCAGTGCCGCACTACATTATTATTGCTATTTATGAACATGTGTAATGTTCGTTATGTAGGTTAAGAGATTTGCTTGCCTTTATACAAGCAAAGTATCTAACTTGGGCATGTTTTCTCCGGACAAATACTATAGACCTAGTGAAGATTTTATGCAACATGAATATGCCATTTTCGAAAGCTGAGCTATGCAACTATCTGGTTTATTTCCCCTCGACTCTCGGTATCTGTTGTTAGTAAAGTCGGTGCACGAGGGTTAGAACTCTATTACGAGGGTAAAATGTTGATGCTTATTAGATTTTTGTTTTTTTTAATACTTCAATTGAATGCCGGTGACTGAAATGGCATTTACAGAATTTATTCGGTTTTATCATACATGCACAGTGAGACGATGGTTCTTAATATTATTATTATTATTATTCCCAAACTGATTTAGCGAGACATGAACGACTAAACTAGTAGATATAACTGTATTAGTATTACTTATATTGGACAGTAGTTAAAACCGATTAAACTCATCTACAATCTTTCTTCTCCGTGTTGTTGTCTCCCAGTGCGTTAATTACATGATTTCGATTCCACTCTAGGCTTCACTATGATAGGATACCTCTTCTGAGTCCTAGTGGTTGGAAAAAACACCAACTTATCTTCTTCTGCAGGAGACCAACTGAGGCATACAAATGAAACAAAACATTAGCATACAAGAAAAGAAAAGTGCCCATGTCTTAGTAAACATAAGAATATGTTGTGGTTGCATTGTACCTGTAACGGGTGACAAAGCGGTGAAGAAACACCGAGAGCACAACTCTGGCTAGCTCGTATCCAGGGCACAGCCGCGGCCCTCCTCCAAACGGTGTATATACATTTCCAGGACTCGTTGCTTCTGATTTTCTCTGCAATTTTCATAAATTAAGTGACTTGACAACTTGACACATAGCAATGTAAGGGTATGATCAGGGTTCAGAAAAAAAAAAGATATGCAGCCACATAATAAGTTTTTATGTCTCTGCCGGTGATATTAATATTGTACGTATGACTTTGACCAAAATCTTCCATATTAGAAAAGAGTGCGGAATTGTGGTCACGGCCGAAATTTAAAACCTTGGATAATACTATTAGACAGGTATTATCTGTTTTTGAAGGGAGAGAAATTCAAATATGGGCTATAAAGTCTCGTTGAGCCATATATTTTAAGGATATTTTTTGTGTAAACCGAGCATCTCTGCTCTTCGTGCAACTCCAGAGACTTAATCTATCATGGTGAAACACTATCAAGATAAAATGAGAGTGCGAGCTACCTGCCATCTCCATGGATTGAAGGTGCGTGCATCTTTGAAATGATCAGGATTTAGATGTACAGCACGAAACGATGCAAAGACCTTCCATCCTTTTGGAATAGTGTAACCTATATCACAGGTAAAAATTAAAATTTTAAATAAATGTTTTAATTTAAATTTTGTTTTGTCCATGATAATATATAATATTAGAATAATTAGATATACTAATACCTTTGATATTGATGTCTGTCATTGCTCTCCTAAATATCCCACTAATTATGTTTGCCATCCTTAAAGTCTCATTCACAACCTATAAACAAAAAACAACATATGTTTGAGCTTTTTGTATCTAAAATAGGTTTTACTTCGAAGTTTTGAATCAACAAAGTTTAAACAATCTTACACATTGAGTAAATGCCATTGATTTATAATCTGTCCACTCCAATGGTTCCTCTCGACAACTCTTCTTCGCTATGATTTGATCATGTTCTTCCTGCCAAAACAAAACACAAAACCACGTCTCTTATCAAAATCCATAATTAGTAACTTAGTATTATAAATATAATCTTATGTTATATAATTGACCTCACATTCAATTCTTAATGATACTCATAATCTTCTATTGCATTTGCATCGATTTTAGTCAACAAAAGGTTCTTGAAATGAGCAAAGCACGAATTCTAATGGAACTAGAGTAGGGACCCAATACATAAATTTGCACTGCACTGCAACAAAACAGAACTAGCTAGTTCTCCATAAAAAGACAGACACAAACCAAGTTGTCTTTATGAAATGACGCATAAGCCCCTGAACCAGTTCTGGTAATTTTTCTCTGAATTTTTTACTGACACCAAAATTACTAAAGCTTGTCGTTAAGACAGGGTCCACAAATTTAGACTTTGTGAGGGAGCACAGTATTTATCTAACCCTTTGATGGTTACTCACTCTGCCCAAGCCAATGCATGAGTTTCAAGTTTTTTAACTGTATTCACTGTACTCTAAAGTTTTAGGGACAGTCTTTAACTCCAAGTTTCAATATTACTGATTCAAAACTGCTGAAGTGGATACCAGAAAAAACACAGAAGTGTCTAAAGTTCGGCCGCGACATAAGTAAAGTTTATCAATAATTATTATAGTAAAAAATTTGAATTCAAATAATCCAATGGGCCACCTGCTATTAGGTTTTTGCCTGCTATCAGATCACCCTTCATTTATTTCCACGCACGCTTCAAATGTCCAGTGGTGCTCTTATAATTATACTTTTGAGATATAACATTCATTTTTTTACTTAAAAAGAAAAACTCCAAAATCAAAATTAGGCCAATAATATGCATAGTATCTAGGGTTGGTGAAGTGGAGAGAAACAGATATTGAAAATGAGGTTACAACTTACAAAGGAAAACACACCACATGAACGATGGGGATGGACATGGACACTGGTGGGGTAATTCTAAGGATGGTCCTATATCTATATCTTCCACTACCCTAGCTAACTATAGAAACAAAACAACTATAATTATATGAGCACCACATATGTATTGACATTATTGTTTTAAACAATTATCACCAATTATCATTGATTTATAGTTTAGTTTTGTGTACCTTGAGTTGTGCCAATGCTAGAGGATTTTCAGTGAGAAACTTGACGGCGAAAGTCATTATAGTAGAGGTGGTTTCATAGCCGGCGACGAGCAATGCCAACATAAAATCGACTATTTGTTCGTCGGAAAAGTGGTCGCCGGAGGCCAACAATGCACCTAGCATGTCATTCTTTTTCTCCCCCATTACACTTTCTTTTCTTCTCTGCCTCACAATCAATGTTAATGCCTCAGCCACCTTTGTTCTTGCCTATATAATAAACATATAATAACCTTAGTCAATTACTACTTCATAATGCATTGTGACAATAGTAAAACATAATATAATTCAATTTTATAAAGTTGCATAGATTATTTTTGAGATACCTTGTCCTAAAGTATAAAAGTTGAATTGAATAGTGATTGTTGGTGAATAGTAATTGTTGTCCTAAAGTATAAAAGTTTGACTTTTTAAATATTTGTGTGACTCTTCCTACCTACACAAATGTCATACAAATATCGTATTTCAACGCGTATCAGACACCTCGATACATCTATTTTAAAAAACAAACACCTGCCTGTGTACCCGGCCAAACTCACCCGACTTTGACTAAAAGGGCCCGGGGGAGGCAAAAACTAATCCTTTTATTTTCCCACCTAATTAAGTGGGGGCCAATTCAGAGTAAAATAATTGAATATAGACAAATTTACCAATTTTTTTAGATCTATGAGGTAATATATCAATAATGGAAAGAAAAAAAATAGAAGTTGCACGTGTGTACCTTGATTGCTCTGCTATAGGTACTAGAAAGTATTGGTAAGGGAAGTGTGAAAAATCCTTCAATGACAAGAACATATTCTTTCCTAAGACTCTCACTCCATTCACCTGGATCAAAACTCATAAGCTGCTTCACTGTCAACTCAAACGTTATCTGCAAATTAATTTAAAAATATTATTTTATCTTAAATCACTTGTAAGCATAACTTAATTTAATCAATAATACTATAGTAACTTTATAGGGAATGATTATATTCTTTCTAGGCATTAATAAATTAGCTAATGTGGGGCCTCCTATTTATGCATAGAATTAGACACACACATGGAATCTGAGTCATTAACGTCACATGCTAACATAATCAGATCAACTATTAATTAATCAATATTATTAGTACTAATCAATCCAAACTTAGATAAAGATGTTAGAAAATGTTTTTGATGAACTTTTAACTAAATAAATAAAATAAACAAAACCCAAGTAAATTCGTGAGGTGCAGAAAATTGGTCCACCGCCTCTTCCACCAATTTTGTGCTATATATAATAGGATGATGGTCAGTGAAAATATTTCTATATAGAGAAAATCTTTTATGTTTTTTTATACTTTAAATTCATAAAAATTTCATTTTTTTTTCAAGGTCACATGCATAAATATAAAATAAATATAAAATAAAACATGTATTTTAATTTTTAAACCATGAGGATCTAACTTAAGAAATTAATATTTGTGAATGTTGTTATAGAAGATGTATCTAAATTTTATTCAAACTCAAGACTTATTGCAATATGTTTTATAAAACATAGTAAAGAAATTTAAGTGATGGATAGGATGCTAACCTTCTTGGCTTCCTCCATGAGTAAAACCCGGTCGGACCAAGAATCCAAGTTGAGCCGAATAAGCCGATCAATATCAAGAAGAAGATGATCTTTAATAATGGAAGAGTTAGCGAAACTCATAGTAAGTGAATGCATTCTCTTATGAAGAGAGCCTTTCATGAGAAGCAGGGAGTGTTTTCCCAAAAGGTTCGATATTGAACCGGGGTAACTACAGTCAAAAAGCTTCCCTTCGTTCATCAAAATAAACCGGTTCGTTTCCGGGTCAGCTGAAAACACTGTCGGTTCGCCGAATACATGGGTCGTGAAGATTGGACCGTACCGGTTCATTCGTTTGTCGATAAAAGGCTCTGGGTTTTCGGTTTTGTAAGCTGATATCAGCTGTAAAGTTTCTCCAATAAAGGGTAGTCCTAGACTTCCCGGCGGGAGATTGTATCTTCGCCGGTAAGTGCTCCGGTGGATTAAAAAAATGACGGTGAGGATTATAACCAATAAGAGTATAATTGCCATGGAAACGTTGAACAAAGAAAGTTGCAGTAACTTGTGTTTTGTATGTGAATGTTATTTTTATATGTAAAAAGTGAGAGAGAGGTGATGGTTTGAAGGAAAGGAAATTAATGGAGGGGGAGAAGTGAAAGGAGCACACGGGGGAGAATCTAAAAGGAAAGAAGGATTTGGCAGAAAAAGTAAATGTTGGATATTTTGGTATATATGTCTGACAGCAATTGTTAGCTCTAATTTTTTAACTTAGATTTGCACTTCCATATTGGAGGGTGATTATATATCAAGCTCATACTCATTATAATTAGAGGTGGCAAATGGTTATTCCAGACTATTGTTTCGAAAAAATAGGACGAGGATACAATTTTGATCTATTTTTGTAAAAAAGCGAGTGCGGGACAAGGTGGATTCGTAGTATTGCATCTATTAAAATTTAAAAATTATAAAAATTTTTAAAAAGAATTGGGGAGACTAAATAGATCCATTAAAGCATGGGTGATAAAATAGATTCAATTAGTTGGACGTGTCTATTTTTCATGCACTTTAGCAGATTAAAAATTTAGATATGCACCCTTTAATATATTTGTCTCCGTTTTCTTTTAAATTTTTAAGACTATAAAAATTAACATAAATTTTGTATTTTTAAGCTTAAGATATACAATATACACGTGTCTGTTCCACCCCCTCTCTCACATTTAGTATGCAAACAAAAGTTTTAGTCTAACACCCTTAATAATTTTTGTCTCATCCAGTCTTATTTTTTTTCTTTACAAATTTTTGTAAGACGAATTTAAATAGAACATACATGCCTCTGTTTGCCACTCATATACTAAAAGTGAGGGAGGAACCGGGTTGACCCGGGGTTCTACACCTATTAAAATTTTCAAAATTTTATGAAAATTTTATGTCGCAAAAGTTTGAAAAAAAAACTGAGGAGACAAAGCAGATCCATTAAAGTAAGGGTGGCAAAATAAATCTGACATGTTGGATATATTTATTTTTCCTGCACTATAGTGCAAAAGGTTTAGACCCATACCATTTGTTTTGCTCCGTCCCATTGTATTTTTGTGACCTATTGCAGACATAGAAATTAACATAAAATTTGTATTTTTAAACTTAAGAAATGCAGTACCCACAAGTCAATTCCATTCACCCTCATATTTAATACGAATTGACAAAAGTTTTAGTCTCACACCCTTAACTATGTTTGTTCCGTCCTTTTATATATATATATATATATATATATATATATATATATATATATATATATATATATATATATATATATATATATATATATATATATATATATATATATATATATATATATATTAGGCGGATCTAATTTGAATGAAAATGTCCGTTTATCAATTTTATATTAAAAAATATTGACTTAAAATTTTAGTGCGCCTTGCAAAATAAAAAGTACGGGCAAAATAAGATCGTACTCGCTTTACCACTCTAATTATAATACTACTTCTAGATTTTAGGTGATGGTAAATTTAGGATTGAAGGATGTTAACAAGTTAAAAGCATAGAATCTTAAGCTATAATTAAATTTAATGATTATTAATACAGATTAATTAATATGTACTATTTGTGTAAAAATATATACACAGTCAATTCATCATTATTATTGTTTGCATTATTTTTTTTTTGGTTAAAATAAATGTTAATGTAATTCTTATTAATATTTCATTAGGTTATTATTATAAATAAATAAATCACCTTAAATCTTAGCACTATTATAAACAAATCACTAAATTTTAAACTAATTAATGTTTATATTACTAGTCATTGATTATATTCAAAAGTACTTAATGCTACTAGTTGTATTAGTGACACTTAGAATCCCTTTTATAAATGTGATATAAGTAATAAAATTTTGTTAATGTGTTGTCATCGTCGTGTTAATGAGTATTGGCCTGATCTTGACTGAAAGTGAGTGCACAAGATGAATTCTAATGGTATGTTCTTCGTACCTAGCTACATAAAATTAATTTTTCTAAATTAGGCAGACCAACTAAAATAGGTTGAAAATCTCATTGATTTGATTTTCAGAAAAAAAGTTTGATAAAATTAAATGTATTGACGTGTAAGGTAGTTGGCCTATGAAAATGTAATGATGATTATAAAATGAAGGGAATGTTCAATAGACACATGACTTACTAACACATTCACTAATGAAATTCTAAAAATATTTTTCAAATTCGAATTCTAATATCTAGATGTATTTAATAAATAACAAATGATCTCTTGAACATGTCAAAATTAGACTTTAGAATCTATACAATAAAATACGTAGATTTAATTTCGAACACATCTAACATATCACACGTATGTCTAATTTAAAAACCACATCTTTTCAAACTAATTCAGATTCCAATGTTCATATTGCTTTAAAATATTGAAATTCGAACGCTAATGTCTAAGGTAACTCGCGTCTTTCACTTTTTCATCACATTTCTATTTATGCAAAAGAGTAAAAGCTGAGATAGAGAGTTTCTCCTCATTTATATTATAGAGCCAACTCCATCAATTTTTAAGCAATCTGCAAATATTGAGGTGGGCCATGTGCAGTTGAGGAGAGCTGAGATCTCGTAAGATCGGGGTAGGGGTCGATTGGAAGGTGGTTGGGGCAGGGGGCGGGGGGGTGTGTGTTGCTTTTCTATTATTTAGTGCAGTGCTGTAGTATATATATAGAAGTAGATAGAGTAGTAGTATATGTCTATTATATCTATATATAATATATATATATATATATATATATATATATGTGAGTAGAGAGTAGTAGTGAGAGAGTGAGTGAGTAGAGTAGTATTCGAGTTGAGTAGTAGAGTAGAGTTGATATATAGTATATATATATATATATATATAATATATATATATATATATATATATATATATATATATATATATATATATATACTATATATATCATTATATAATATATATATATATATATATATCTCTATATCATAATATATATCTATATAAACTTATATATATATATACTAATATCTCACTACACTCACTACTCACTAGCACTACACACTACTCACTACTCACTACTCATCACTCATATATATATCCCCTTTGTGTTTGTCATAAACTATTTTGCTTTGAGTTTTTTAGAACTAGAGTTTAAGGTCCATGCATGCTCTATTATTTAGTTCATGTTTCTATTTTAGTGTTGTTCGAAGATTGGAATTCAGACCCTTGGTTCGGAGATCGGAATCCAAAATAATGTATTGTCTTATTTTTGGTTTGTATTGTTTTTGTATTCTGTTATCACATATCTATGTACTTGTTTGATTGCGGGAAAAATATTTGAAAATCAAAAACTATTGAGACATGGTAGACTGACCCAACATGCTTTTGTTCTCAGGAAGAAAGATAGACCCTTGTGATATGCAGTTTGAGAGACTTCATTTGTTGGTGAGGGATCGTCTTCTCAGATTTATGTGTCTCGGACATCATCTTTGAGGATTCATGTGTTCACTGCTACCCTAGAAACCCATCCTGCACAAAAGCCTCTCATGTCGTTGATGATCCGGAGGGTTTCCCAAGAGGCCTCTATGACCTTTTACTAAGTGTAGTATATGGAAGTACTCGAAAGATGATAGGAAATATCTGTTTATTTGTGGTAATTTTTTGCACCTTCATTGATATTAAAGTCATAATACCTACTCTATATTGTGACTAAAGTTTCATTTAAACAATTTTTAGGCATGGATCCACCAGTATTTTACACATTTCGTCGGCTGGATATATACAGATGACTATTGCGAGGTTTTTCCAGATGCGTGCTCGATGATCTCATTCAGAGAAAATTAGGTGATCAAGTCATCCAGAGTTGTTCTAGACTACATCATTCCAGATGGTATTAACTGGATGTGGACGTCAGTCACCATGAGACACGACCCTTGGAGTTGATAGTCTTGTACTTTGGATGGTTGGCATGTGGGTCCAGACTTATGTACCCGCATCCACTTGAGCGAGTCATGCAACAATCTAGGGTATACCCATATACCCCACCATTGATGCTTCTCACACTGTCCTCTACAAAGATGTTGACTAGATTTTGGCAGTGTATTATGGTCATCTAGTTCTAGGGGATGTATATTGTGTGCCAACTCCTTGTCCCTGGAGTACGGTATACAGATATATCTAATGGTTTTATAGAGGGTCATATCCTTACATGACACCAGATGCAGAGCGAGATCCTCCAAAACCAACTCATCTGGAGATCTTAGAGAAAGAGCAGGCAAGGGTGGGCCATGTTATTAATGTGTTACTAATATGTCACTGAATTATGGCTATTGGGATATTTATCATCTAGCTGTGAGTTTGAGGAAAGCACTCATCATATAGCCTATCTACAAACCATCTTAGTAGAGACACGACATGCATTGATGTATCAGGAGCATATGAGGAATAAGTATGTCAGATATGCACAATAATTGTCTTTTACTTTATATATTTTGAAAATGTGTATTATGGTTTGTTGTGAGATTGATTATGACATTTTGTATTTAATATTTGTGATATTGCCATTCAGATATACACAATAGTTTTTCCATGTTGATCTAACTATTGAATGAAAAATGTGTATGGTTTATTGTGGGATTGAATAAGAAATAACTTATAATGAGAGTTTATTAAAAATGTGAAATTTTATTTAACTAATAGTCAAAGAGTGTACAAAAATGTCACACAGGAAGCTCTCACGTGTCTCTCCCACGGTCTAAACGTGCTCCCCACGCAAGGACAGGTCATCAGCCAACTACCTGCGTTCGAGAGCTGGTCTTCCATACGCCACGTAGATCCTTACAGTTATTTGTATTGGACTTATTGATCCAACCCAATACAAATAACTGTTGGCCTAACGCTGGGAGAATGTTACAAATACCCTATTTCACTAGAGGGTCAGATATTCTAACTTTTTACGCCTTTTCAGTAATTGCTTTCTCTCTCTGCCGCTGAAACTTACTTTAGTATCAGAGTGT